GGCATCAATCACTTCACCATTAAAGCAAAATCTACATGTTTTCTTCTCTTGGTGGAAAAAAAAAAATACATCCTTGGTTTTCATTTAAGTGTACATGCATGATGCATGTTGCTAAATTATATGCAGAAACGAAAAAAACATCTATATGAATTTTAGGTATTATTTCGATTATTAGGCTGAAAAATTAGAATCGTACTATGAACAGTTGCGTCTGGTTTGATTGTCTCATCCTATACATTGGTCATCATAATTCATTAATAGAACTCACTTAAAAGTGGATAATAGCAATTAACCTTAACATTCTTCCAAAAGATTAAAAAGGAAAAAAAAAAAAAAGCATCTATATAACTTTAAAAACTTTAGAATGGCTTTCATCCACAGCTTCCCTGTTCATAAATTAAACTCTTATGCTTGAGCACTCATCTCGAACAAATACCACAACTCCAACTCAAGTTAAAACAAAAGGAAAGGATAAAAAAAAATTTATATTTCTTTGAAATGATCATCGGGAGCTAGGAATTAACATGAGGCGGTCCCGTTCATTTCGCTGATTCGAGTTTAGAATTCGAGTTTTGCTACAGTAAAAAATTCTCACAAACTGTCATATTTAACTTTTTTGTTAAAATAAAAAACTCGCACATAAAATCACATCTAAACTCAAATTAAAAATTCGAATAAACGAACTAAATATACCCAAATTTATATATTAACAATAATGTGGAACCACGTGACGAGTGTTTAACACAATGAAGGGTCATAGATGTGGACGCTGCAACTCTATGAACGGCCAAATAAATGAAAGCAGAGCCACATGTTTTGGTGCCTAAGGAGGGGCCTCACAAGTCACCAAAGCTACTAAGCTTCCAAAAAAATTCCAACCCCATAGTCTCCCCTAGTAGGGCACCGATATGACTAGGGCTTGGACCAATACGTCTACTTAGGTTTTGTTTCTTTTGTTGATGGAGGGAACTCCTAAAAATTGACCTTTAATAATAAATAAATAAAAAAACAATCTTGTCTGATTGAACTGTCTACTGCTAAATAAGGATTTAATAATTTATTAATCCAAAAAAAAAAACATAGTTAAATAGGAGAGGATAAAAAGGATGGTAATAACCTTAAGAAAAAAGATGACAAATACCTCTTAAAATGTATGAATTTTGAATTTTTAACCCTTAATTACACTAGATTAATACATTTTCTCAAAAAACTATGGGTTTGTTCGGTTGTATTTTTGAGTTATGGTGACTTGAGTGTAGATCTTAAATTAAATTTGAGTTGAAGTTGTAACTTGAGTTTGTGTTTGGATGTGCGCATTTGAGTTATGATTTAAATTGAGAATCTATTTGAGTTTGTGTTTGAGTGAGTCAAAACTTAAATTTGTATTTAGATAGTATTTTAATAAAAACTCAATGATGATAAAAAATTTTAATAGAGTATATGAGTGAGGTCATATTCGTGTCTTCGTTGTGAACGCATAGAAAAAAAAGCATCTCAATCGGAATTAAAACGAAAAAATTATGACGGTTTTAAGAATAGAAAAATATTGTTCATTAACTTGAATTTGAGTTTAAGAACTTGAGTTGAAGGAAAAACTTGAACTCAGATTTTAGCCCAAAACTCAAGTTAAAACTCGAATTAAAACTCAAGTTTAAACTCAAATTTTATAAACGAACATAAATTTAAAAAAAGTTATAATTTGACTTCAAACTTTTTTTAATTTTACTCTAAAAGAATAAGTCTTATATTTATTAAAAAGATATTAATTAATAGTAAGAGAAAAAAATATAATTTTATGCACTCTAAAAATAAGTTTAATAATTTTCTCTAATTTTTATTTTTTTAATTTGTCCTCTTTATATGGGCCTCAGGTCTGACCCATTCCAAATTTCCAACAAGTTTTTACCCACAAATCCAACTGACAAATCCCTATTTGTCGGCAGGGATAAAACTCGATGGGGCGGCAGGTCAGGATGTTCTGGGAGGCTCTATTCTCCGTGATGATTGAGATAGGGAGGGGCTTGGAGGGCTTTAATTTAATGAGGAAATGAGTACGGGTGTTCAAGAAAACCAACAAACCGTAAAACCCAAACAATCTAAAATTAAAGCAAGTCAAATCAAACCGTTAACATTTTTGGATCATTGGTTGATTTTGGACATTATTTTTCTTTTGGTCTGTTGGATTATCAATTTGGTGTTATGAAACCAACCAAACCGACTAAAAAAAAAAAAAAAAGATCAAAATTCTTACATTTATTTTCCTAACATAGTGTACCCTATAACACAAAAATTTTTGGACATTATCTCTATGAATGGAAAACTTTACAATATTTGAATGTTGTTTAACCGGAGTTAAATGACAAACTTTGAAACGATACGAAAAATTTTCCATCAAATATGGTTTTTTTAAGCTTAAATCGAAACCGACCAAACCAATGATAATTGGTATGGTTAGATTTAATTTTTTTTTCCAAAAATATCCAATTGATCAAAAATATATTTTATTTTCTCATAGGTCTCGTCAGATTTCTCCACCACGAAAGAGACACCGTGAAAACCCACCGGAAAGGCCTCGTCAAAAACGATGGAAAGAGATTGCATCATTACCCTTGGATAAGCAATCTTATTTGATGAGTTCTGGCATCGTTATTTTGTATTGGAACTCCTCTCAAGAGTAATTCTCATGCAAAGAATTGGTTCAACAACTGATTTACCAATCCATATCACAAAATCTGGATTAGATTATAATTAACAAGAAGTGAAACAGAAAATGAGGGAATGACTCATGAACTAAACAAATATGCTTCATTGATTGAACTATTTATACCTAGTTACAAGAGAATAATTACTAACTAAACTGAATGCCATAATTGGCGACTCAATAGAAAGGGAGAGTTGTTTTTATTTCATTATTATCGTACTTGAAACTTGTAAATTTACAGTTTATAATTGAGCGATTGTCATACCTCTTGTAAATTTACAGTTTATAATTGAGTGATTGTCATACCTTACACAATAAAAAAATTATATCAAACAATAATATGCTATTGCATATATACAATACAATACTTTGATACGGTTGATCAAACATATATATCTAAGAGTTTATATTTTGTAATCAGCTATTATAATGATTTAGGATGAAATCATTCCATTTCAAATAGAAATAAACAAGTACAATAAAAAGATTATATCAAACATTAATATGTTATTGTATATATAATACAATACTTTAATACGGTTTATCAAACACACATATCTAAGTGTTTATATATTGTAATAAGCTATTATAATGATTTAGGATGACACTACTAGAAAAAGTGTGATTTTTGACGCATTAATTGCGTTGGTAAGTATTGGAAGGTGTCGGTAAATTAATTTTCTAACGCCACTACAACGTCGCTAAAGGCGTTGCTAACTTAGCGTAGCTAAGTGCACTTAGTGACGTAGTCAACGCGCGCTAAGTTAATTAAAAGTTGTTAATGCCAAAATAGCATCGTCAAGTTACTTAAAATGCAATTCCCCCGTATTTTTAAGGAAATTTACTGACGCCATTATCGTCGGCAAGTTTCAAAAGATAAAATTCCTCACACCATCAAAGCATCAGCAAAATATCCTCAAAATTAAAATTACCTACACCTAATAATGCATCGACAACTTCTTCATTTTTTAAGAAACCGCGCTTTTAATTATTTTTTAGCATAAATTTATATTGCATTATTATTTTGAATTTATTTATTAAATTATATTATTATTTTAAATATAAAATTAATAAATTACAAAAATAACAATAACGTAAATGTAAGAGCTCATATTAACTAATGATAAAAAAAACATACATAATAGTTTCGAGCATATTATCAATATCCAAAAGTAGAAGTTTATAATATAAAGTTATACGTGAACTTAAAGGTTTAAACTGTAAGTCTAATAACATGGATCTCTCGAGATCACGGGACAATAAGCATCATCGTCGTCGTCATCATCCTGCGAAGGGTGTTGTGGTGGCAAAGGTAGAGAAAAGGTGGTTCTTGGATCAATCCAAATTGAGCAAAGCAGCCAGGAAATTGCATGTTCAGTTGAGAGGTTAATTGTTGAATAAATGATGTACATGCATCAAGTTTGTTCTCATATGATGCAAGTTTGTTCTTCAACTCCACGACTACTTCGTCATTCTCACTTTGTGCACCACAAGAACTAGAAGATCCTTTCAGAATTTTTCCCCTCCCTCAGATATATCCCGAACGAGGCTTCCAAACCCTTTGAACAATCTCTTCTTCTGTGAGAGGAACATGACAAGTATCGCCGTTTGATATTGCATCTGAAGATTGATGGGTCTGCAAATCTCTAAGAGCCAAATTTTTTTTTGAAAAAAAAAAAAAAAAAAAAAAAAAAAAAAAAAAAAAACAGAAAAAACAGAAAAAAGCCAAGTTCCATTTATCAGTTAAAACTTGAGCGCACTAGATCAACAAGATAAGTTATCAGCTCTGTACGTCCAACAAGTACATTCATCTTTATGTATTCAAGTTGTATATATTGTTATATTTTAAATAAGCTAATGATAATCATACGCATGTTGTAGCCTGCCACAACAAAGAACTTCTCACCACCATTTCCAATTTCTTGTTCGGAAAAAAGGAATGTGGGAAAGACTTACGGCGATACTCAATTGATTGTAGACAAGTTTAATCCTAACAAGAAAACAAAAGCCAGGTCCATTTTAAGAGCCAACATTTTAGACAGGTTTTTAAGACTAGACAATAATTATAAAAATACATATTGATTGTAGAGTTTAATCCTAACAAGAAAACAAAAAAAAAAAAAAGCTTGTATGAAAAGTATTAAATCCATCTGATTCCATTTTTTATTGTTTTTGGGAACAAAAATAAAATAAAATAAAAAGTAAAATGCCACTCTAAGCAATAAAAGGTAAGAAAACTGCATTAAAAAGTGCATGTGTATTAATTAAAAATGACCACTCACGTAATCTTGTTCAGCTTACGGGTTGCACCATTGTTTTGTTTTGTGATTGGTATACATAACCCGGTGGAATTCAATGTCACCAACAAACTGATTAGTCTCCAGATTCATCTGTAGCAATATTTTGAATTAGAGTAAAAAATGTTAAAAAAATATATATAACTAATGAAAAATTTATATGCTAGTTCTTCACGATGAGCAGGATAGGATTTTGATCCATGTGAACTGTTATAGCCTTTGTTTGTTAAGCGGTTCTTCATATTTTGCTTGGACAGTTCCTAAAAGAATGATACAAATTAGTCATTGCAAAAAGTAATGTAAAATAAGTGAAAAAAATACCACCATAACACTTCATGAAAGGTTTGAAACTTACTATTTGTTCCTCAGTACTCCAATAATCACAAAGCCACTCCCAATTTTCGTAATTAATTATGTCGTCAGGGGGTAATCTCTTAGCAATTTCTGGTGATATTTCCCCACCAATTTTCTTAAAGTATTTGCGCAATGAACACCGCCAACTTCTGTGTGAATCCTTCATTTGATCATCTATAACCTTTTTTATGTCTGGTAACATTACAAAGTCAAATCTTTCCTACAAAATAAAAAAGTTAAAAATGTTAGAATTTCATAACTAACTTTGAAGTTTGCAAGGAAGTATTTTAGTATACTTACAAGCATCCCTTCATAAATAGGGACTTTAACTTTGTCACTTAGTTTGTTAAAGGGTACTTCACATCGAACTGGTAAATGAGTTCATGCAAGAAGTCCCAAATCACGTGCCCAAGTACCGTGATTGTGGCCAATTGCTCTCAAAGTCACTTCATCAAAATTTATTTTTAACTTTCCATCCTTACGCCTTTTTTGGGCGGTTTTTCCGGTGTACATTCCCTTTCTCTTCCCTTTTTCGCCATTTCCTCCTTGTAAAGATACCATAATGGAAAACCTTTTTCAACAAAGATATTATGAGCCATCAACATAAATCAACCAAATATTTAATCTAACAAGTGAAATCATGAAAAGAATAAAAGAAAAAAACGATATCTCGAAAGACTTGGGAATAAAGCCAATAGAACTAGGCTACCACTTTAGTGATAGTCTAATTAGTACTTTTGCATATTTGCTTTGAGTTGTGGAGTTGTGAGTTGTAACGCTGCCCACTGTTTTCCATTTCCATGACCAAGATTTTTTAAGCAACAGAGAGTGGAAAAAACAATCTACAAGAGGAGGAAAAAACAATCATAGAAAGGACTATTCTGGATCAGATTTCAACTCTGAATTATAGCTATGGAATTTCTTATGGCTTTTATACACATTTTGCTGAAAAATTCAATTGTTTTGTCTGAAAGTTGTCTTCATAATTTTAGTATCTCACAAG